CTGATTGGTTGCATAAGCACAGCTTCTGCACCACTAAACCATACTGAACGTTTGTGTTTTAAACAGTCTTACCATTTCTTGGAAAAGCAACAGCATACTGATTGTATTACTGACTGTGATTATGTCTTTTAAGCAGTAGATGGTGCTGTAGTGCAATGCTAGTCCACGTTAGTTTTCTATCTGCATACTTATCTATTATATACACAGGTTGTTATTTCTGTATGCTGTATTCTGATGTAATGTTCTTCTAAGCAAGTAAAACTTAATTCAGCATTCCTCAAGATCTCAGTGCTTCATCAAAACACATAACCAACATTATTCACCATCTAACTTGTAGTACCCATCAATATCACTGATCTGGCATGCTGTAGATTCACATGGCAAGATGCTCCAGTGTAAAGCCTGCTGAATCTGCTTGCAATTTTTTAGACAAAATGCAGATTACAGGATAAGTTCACTTTAAAGCAGGGATGTCAAACTCAATTTAATCGTGGGCCGCATCAACATTATGGTTGCCTCAAAGGGCCTGTAAGACTATATAAATGTATCTAATCTTTATCATAATTGCCTCTGCATTCGATTATTACTGGTTTTAGTAATAACTTAATACCTAGATCTGAAAGTAGAAGTCTAGGAAATGGCCTGGTGGCCCGGATTCAGCCCCTGGGCCTTGAGTTTGAGACATGTGCTTTGAAGTGAACCTATACTTCACCTATGCAGAACAAGGGCTTGACAGTCCCCCCTCTATGGCTGATACTTATCTTCTTCATGCCAACCTTTGTGGCCACTGAGCTCTAAAAATAAGGGCCATACACATCTCCCCACCTAGTTTTTAGCAATAAGAGTGGGTTGGGAGATGTGTATGCGGGCCAGACACCAGCCAGAGTGTCCCAGGTTGCTAAGAACCAGACGGCAGCTCTTAGCAACCTGGGACGCTTTGGCCGGCGTCCCGTCCAGCTCCTGGCAACCATTGACATCACAGATTGCCAGGAGCTGGGCAGAACGTCAGGGGCACAATTTGTTGTAGATACGCCTCTGGTAAAAGCAAGATGTGTTTTCTTCCTCTCCATTTTAATCATGTCTAGCCTCCATTATGTGGGCTGCATCTAGTGGTTTGAGGTGTTTGCTTTCCTGCAGCCATTATCGATTTTTCGTGTGATTATGAGCAATTGAGAACGGATTCTACTAAAATTACATTGTGTAATATCTGGATTAGGAATACAGAGCAGTATGTAGTCGGTGGTTACTGCCCCCTTGTGATCAACATGTAGAATTGAAAGATGTTGAAGAGCGCCCAATGAAGGTATAAAAAACAAGGGCGACGGAGGGCATTCTTGTCTAGTGTCATCACTGATACTAAAATGAAGCTGTTATATCCATAGTAAAAAAAAATTTATGCTGCAAGGCTTCCAATTTTAAAAAAGTCCTTTATTTCAGGGGTGCAGTATTTGGGGGTCTTTTTTATTTATCATGGAGGTATGATGGCTTTATATTTTATGTTGTTAGGTATTTTAGGTTAAACTACTTTTTCCTGCAACATATCTTTCATTAAAAAAAGTGGGCTTTTGTCTCCGGAGCTGTTCTGTGAAAAGCATATTGGACATTTTCTGACGGAGGAGGATGGAGAGCAAGCAACTCACTATCAGAGCAGCCGAAACTGCAATTCTCAGTGCTGGACGTTCGGGGCCTAGTCTAGGGTAAGGGCTGAATGAAGTAAGAGGCTTCACAAACATAGCCGCAGCAGCCACACATTGGGCACATTAGAAGTAATTTATTTTTACAGTGCGATTGTCCAAAAATTGTTTTTGTCCGGAGTTCACCTTTAATTCATGTGTTAAACCCCTACCTGTGCTGTTTTCGCCTAGTAACTATGTGTTGTTATAACCCATAACCTACAACTTTATGAGCCTAAAATTGCTATTTAAAATTGGCCTATATTCCACTGCTGTATCCTTTGTGGTCTCTTCATTCTGGTATTAAAACCCCCAAATGTGCTTTTTATCTTTAGTAACTTTGGGCCTAATATTGCTATTCAAAATTGTTCTGCAGCTGGCTTCATTTCCACTGCGGCATCATTCCTATAATAAAACCCCCAAACATCCTTTTTATCTTTAGTAACTGTTGGCCTAAAATTGCTATTCCACTGCTGTATCCTCAGCGGCCTCTTAATTTTTGTATTAAAGCCCCCAAATGAGCTTTTTGTCTCAGCAAAGTTTGCCTAGAGTTGTCATTATTTTTATATTCTGCTACTGGCCTATTTCCACTGCTGCATCATCCTTAGTCTCTTAAAGGTGAACTATGAGGTGAGTAAAAATCACTCAGCCTCATAGTTCGAGCCGACGTGTGACAATGAACCTGTCACACGTCGGCTCAATAGATCTGGAAGTGAGCGAACACATACCGTCGCTCGCTAGCTTGTCGATCCTGTCCCTGCAGAGAGTTGTGACTGTCACTCACGGCTCCCTGCAGGGATTTCCCCCCCTCCCCTGTCTGATCCTCCAGCGCTGACTGACGGAACGGACAGGGAATGGGGCAGGTACAGCTGGCTCTGCCTCTGGATAGGCAGAGCCAGCTGTCAATCACGCAGCTGGGTGGATCCAGACAGTAATGTCGGGATCTGTCCCGGCAGCGGCGGTCTCAGTATACCGCGAGCTGTAGCTCGCGGTATACTGAGCTTTGGGTCACAGGAGAACGCTAGTTTGTGTCCTACTGTGACCCTGGAGAGAACTATGGGGAAAAGCACTGACCCCATAGTTCTCCTTTAAGTCTCAATGAGAGTTTGATAGAAACTCCCTGGACTCTTCTAGTGATATATGTAAATAAAAAATATATATATGTTTGAGGCTAGTTACTGGCCGGATTTGTGGGAGGAGCCCCGCACTTTTAAGCCTGTCCGTTCCCCCCACTCACCCGTCGGGACGTCCAAGTCATCCCACCCTCCCTTATCCCTTTCATAACAGTTACTTGAGTAAGCCCTCTTATTTGCATACTGACCATAGTGACCCTGACACACCTCAGGTCATGTTGTAGGTAGGGTCATCGTCTTCATTTTCCGGTACATATCAGTGGGGCTCTGACTACAAATAAAGTTTTTAATCCCAGAGTCAGATAATATATTTTTTTTAAAAGCCTACAGTTTGCCAGGCCACCAGGGTACCATACAAAGAGACATTGGTGGGGGTACCCATATTTGATCCCTCCACATGTAGCAGTCATTCTGGTAACACAGCCCCATATAAGGGTGATGGAACGGGCTTACTTTATAATTAAAACAGAACTCCAGGCAAAACTGTTCTTAAAGCAGTGGGGCTTCCCCTGTACCGCAAGGTTTAAGTGCTCATCTTTGCCTAGGGTCAAAAATAGAAAAACTCTTACAGTGGGGAGAGCTTCTTTAATACTTGGGGGATGCCTTAAAAGTGCACATGCTGTTACGGAAAAATACTATTTAGTCCTTTAAAAATAGCGAGAAAAGTAATTGAGGCCCCATTAAAGATTTTACCTAGACCTTTGAAGGGCAGTGAGGTTGTACCCCCTTCCTCCTTCCTTTACCATACCAAGCCACCAGGGTACCATACTAGGGGAGTGGAAAAGACTCCCCCCTTGCCCCAATGTTGAGGGACAAGGGCCTTTCCTCACATCCTATCCCCTAAAAGGATATGGGGGTTTGTCGGGGGTGACTTATTGTTCCCTACATATCTGTCTCCTACCAGAAGAATGAGTACCGGGGTATATTAGTACCCCTTATTACTCAATTCACACAAAAAGTGAACACATCTTGAAAGAGTCCTGTAACACTAAAAATTACAAAACAAATTACATCGACAATCATGTCCTCCATCAATGTAAATCAATAATCCATCCTGATGATCTGCTGCCTTGCGATTGTCCCCCACTGTTATGAAGACCCGCTGCTGCTGATGATGATTCTTGGCTTCACTCCCATCTGTAAATGACAGATCCCTGGCTGCCGTGGTAATGTAAACACAGTGCCAGGGATCCCGGGTGACGTCATAGACCATATTGGATTTAGCAACACAGTCCCATCCTTGCAACACAGTCCCATCTAAGGGCGACGGCACAAGCTTACTTGATAATTAATATGTGCAGGTTCCAGGTTTTTTGCAATATTTCTTGGTACCCATTGGTGTCCCCATAAACATCGTTCTCATGTAACCAAGTTTTATGTCAAGTCCTTGGTCTGCTCTCCCAGGCTGCTCTCCTTGTGCAGCAAGTCATCCCTCAAAACAGATCAGCAATTTTCACATTAAAGAGAACAAACAATCCACTTGGACAAAGTTGGCCAAAAGACAAACTTTGAAAAACTTTTAACCGTAACATGAAAAACATCCACTAGATGGCACCATTACCATTGCCAATGCCACCTTATAATTGACCCAAGAATGACCTGAACAATTAAATGACCATTTCAGATTTGACCCATTATGGTCTAGATCATCATACTGACTTGACTCCTTCCAATAATACTGTCAGTCATTTTTTTCTGCTGTGGTATCATTAGGAGTCCTGCCTGCCTGTCAGTTTACAGTAACTCTTTGTTTTCCCAGATATACTTGCAGGGAGTGCCCTGCAGTTAATAACAGGTTGAGATCTGGCAGCCAGCCATGCTGAGACATTTACCTGAAACTCTGGGAAAGCAGCTACCCGAAAAACAATGAGAAGGAGAAACCCTGATTAGAAGCCTATTTAATGGTGAGGCTTCTTGGAAGACATGCATTGTGAATGAATACGGAACAGGTAGAGACAATGCGCCTACATTACCAGTAAGATTCTCTGACTTATCGTGCCTAATGTACTGGAAACTGCTTATTCTTGTTCTACCACTACTTCTGCTAAAGAACCCTTTCCCCTCTTCTGCTTTCCAACCACTCAGCAGTCCTGCGCACTGACCATGAACATCAGCAACTGAGAACAAAAGTTGAATCACTTTGTCCTCCACTTGTGATCCTTCCCTGTCTGACCTAAAGAGTTTGCACTTGACTGCATGCAGAGGGAGGCTGCTGAAGATCCGGCAAGATGTACCACACTGCAACTGTGCCATTCACCATCCTGACCAATCTGACAGCTGAACCAATCCTGACCAATCTGGGCTGCAGCACCAACCAGCCATGGTTAACAGGTGAGGCCAAGCAAGTAAAGATGTTTGAAGTGGAACTCTGCCTTAAATGTTTAAAATCCATTTTAGATACAGTGGATAAGGGTTAGATACTGCAAAGTTTTATTGCTGTCTGTGCTCCCATTGAGTAGACTTTGTATTACTGTGGAGAATCCACTAGGGGCTTGTGACACTATCCTCCAATAAATAAATAGAGAGTGAAGTGGGGGGTAATCAAGGGGTTGATATTTGACATAGTCAACACAGCTGATGGCCTGGGGTGGCAAGACTACAGAGGGAACACATATCATGTTGTCGGTTACCCAGAACAGATTCCAATAAAATACAAGATACTTCCATTATATTTTGCAGAGGATACTATGCTTTCTAAAAGGAAAGCCTAGCAGTGCCTGTGTTGGTAGTCTTCCTAGGAATATAAAGAAATAGGCACGCCATTGACTTCTATCAGTAACATATTGTAATATCTAATAGAATTGACTGACAGACTGCCCTCTTTTCTGCCATTGTAAACCAGCCAGTCATTAGTGTTACTGTCTCTGGATGCCACCATGAATCTGTACAATTAGGTCCAAACTGCTACCAGAATAAGACTTAAGACTTGCCTTACTCTTCAAACCACCTGATGTACAGACACACAGTGGGCACACAAACTTCATCCCCAGCTATGGTATGCCTTGTGTCATATGACATCTGATCCTGTTAGCCTGGTACTAAGGATAGGTGGTCAACCAGGGTAGGAGTGGGTCAGGGCACAGTTGGGGTAGGGGACAGAAAGAGTACGATCGGCCCTGGGGGAATCTGTACAGTTTAACTAACCAGAATCCAATAATGTGGAAAAGGCCGGTTTGGCTATCTTGGTGCTTGTTGTCATCCATTAAGATCTGTGACAACCAGTCTGAACTTGAAGCACACTAGAATAATTAGAGAAATACCCCCCCAGAACAGAAGGACCCTTTAGCGTAGGGTGGTTTTCATAGGCAATGTGTGACCCTTACAAAAAAACCAAAATAGTTTACCCACATATCACTCCAATGACCCTTTGAACTTCTTAATATCTGTTAATATTCTTAATATCTGTTCATAGTAAGCCCTCAGGGGCAGGGCCCTCCTTACCATCTTGTCTTGAATTGTATTGTAATTGTAATGTCTTCCTTATATTGTAAAGCGCTGCGCAAACTGTTGGCGTTATATAAATCCTGTATAATAATAATAATGGTGGGAGAAATCTTTCTTCTTTAGACTGGTACAAAGACCAGCGCTTGAGTTTGCATAGCAGACTTAAGAGTTTTTAAGAGTGTGTGGACTCAGCCATTAACAATGTCTTAGGATGTCCTTGTGTGGGATCTAAGGCAGAAACATTGATGTCCTGATCAGCTGAGTATTTACAAGTATACAATGTAATAGGATGGAGGGAGACTTATGAAGATACTGCAAAGACCGGCTGGTAGTAGTGATGGATGATGCTTTATAACACATTCAGTTGTCATATCTCTGAGCACCTACAGGTAGAGGTCTCGTTGGGAAATAGCAACTGAACATGTTACAAAACCTCATATTCTCATCTTGTCCGAGTCAACTGGACATCTAATGTATATTCCCAACTTACAACTAACCAGCACCAGCCTATCTGATACCAGAGTTGCAGGGGAATTATTGCAGGTGAAAATAATTTCTTAATTTGTGTTGCCACAAGATTCTGCAAAGACCATTATACCCAATCTGGTTGACAAACAGTAAACCACCTAGTATGTTTTTGGAGTGTCAGAAGAAGCCAGAGCACCCAGTAGAAATCTGCTGCAGAATGGGGAGGACAAACAAACTCCATACACATAGTGTTCTTGGTAGGAATTGACAGATAAGTTGTATTTTTCAGTGATAGATTGGCCCTAGGACAATAATCATTTCTATGGCCGTTTTCTCCTCTGATAGGATTATGGCTGATCTTGAGGTTTAGGTGTTAGGTAGAGAATTAGGGTTTAATTTGGGGATTAGGTTGAGGGTCAGATTTGGGCATATGATAGGATAATGGCTGATCTTGAGATTTAGGTGTTAGGTAGAGAATTAGGGTTTAATTTTGGGATTGGGTTGAGGGTCAGACTAAGACATGTCATAGGGTTATGGCTGATCTTGAGGTTTAGGTGTTAGGTAGAGAATTAGGGTTTAATTTTGGGATTGGGTTGAGGGTCAGACTAAGACATGTCATAGGGTTATGGCTGATCTTGAGGTTTAGGTGTTAGGTAGAGAATTAGGGTTTAATTTTGGGATTAGGTTGATGGTCAGAATAAGGCATGTCACAGGATTATGGCTGATCTTGAGATTTAGGTATTAGGTAGAGAATTAGGGTTTAATTTTTGGATTACGTTGAGGATCAGATTTAGGCATATGATAGGATTATGGCTGATCTTGAGGTTTAGGTGTTAAATGGAGAATTATGGTTTAATTTTGGGTTTAGGTTGAGGGATTTAGGAATTACAATGAGGTTAAGACTTATTGGTATGGTTTTCTTGAGGATAAAGATTCAGTTTAGAGGTTCCGTTGATGTTAAGTGTTAGGGGATACATTGGGGTTAAGCATTATGGATAGGTTGAGGTTAGGGTTTAGACTTGGCGTTAGGTTGGGGCTAATGTTTAGGTTTAAATGTTAGATTAGGTTTAGGGGAAAGGTTGAGGTCAAGGATAATCTTGACCTCAACCTTTCCCCTAAAGGTTATACCGTACTAATACCGTACTCTCATTCCAAACACAGCCATTCCAATGTTCACTATTTAATCAATGATTCCATTCTGCAAGGCAGTCATGACAGACACCTACCCACCCTGCTTCTCACAATAATCAAACTCTTCCTTCTTTTAGAGTATTACCCTAATCAAAACTCTGGGGACCAGTCAGAGCACAGCTATGGAGCGAGTGATGCAGAGTTACCGTTATTGGCTTTTCTCACCTCTCCTGAATATTCCTCGAGGGATTCAGAGATCTGGAGTGTGACTGACAACACAATGGTTGATGAGACAATACCTCTGTTCACAGGCGAGTATGCAGATGGCATATGCATTCACCAGCTCACTTGACATTGAGAAACAGTAGACTTGATAAGAACCAGAAAGATAAAATAGTAATAACAGATCTAGTCGATATAATGGGTGTCAGGAGTCCAATTAGGGCAAACCTGCGCTTTTGCTCATGAAGTAACAACACAGTTGAGTAGAGTCCATGACAGTTCAGTTCTTTTTTTAACAATCGATTTTTTTTTTGGACATACTTTCTGTGAGGTTTAGTTGTTTTTTTCTAAGCAAAAGCAGCACTGATACACAAAAGTTTAGGAAATGTTAAGATAGAGCGGAAATGAAAGTAACAATCTCTGAAAGTAAAGAAAGAAAAAATCTCCACACACGCAGGGTAAAAAAAATAGATAAAAAGTAAACAAGATATCTGATAGTGATACAGAAAGCGGAGATCCAAATTTAGTTTATCATTCATAATTTAAAGGTTCTTCTTTCCTGAGTATTAACCCCTTTACAACACCAAAACACATATATGCATCATCACCGTGGGTGGGCCTTAACATGCAGCTGTTTCATATACGTGTTGCTGTTTTGTTCTGGGGTGCTCTAAATCGGCAGCCCCCAGAACTGTGACCGAGCTGTCGCCATCAGCTCACGCTCAACTACGGACAGTCCAGGGCAGGTAGGATGAGCTTCTGATTGCAGTTAATCACAGTGAACAAATTACTACTGACGGCTTGGTGCCAGATACCACAGCATACCTTCAGAGGTCTAGTAGAGTCTATGCCTTGATGGGTCAGAGCTGTTTTGGTGGCAAAAGGGGGACCTACTCAATATTAGGAGGGTGGTCATAATGTTATGGCAGATTGGTTCATATCTGAATTTAAGTTATCAGTCCAACATGCTGTTTTCACTGATACCAATATATACATTATTGGCATTTCTATGAGGCATTTACACAACACTATGTCACTGTTAAAACGATAATTTATTCACTTCACAATTTAAAATCCGATATTTAGTTTTTACACATGCTTTCAAAATTTATATAACATAAACATCTCCCTTTGTTTTGTTGCTTTTTGAAAAATACAACCCTTATTTTTATACCATGTTTGGTTTTTACATTCAGGTATCATATCTATTATACCACCGTACAACCATTACTTAATATACACTATATTGCCATAAGTATTGGGACGCCATGAACTTTAATGGCATCCCAGTCTTAGACCGTAGGGTTCAATATTGAGTTGGCCCACCCTTTGCCGCTATAACAGCTTCAACTCTTCTGGGAAGGCGTCCACAAGGTTTAGGGGTGTGTCTATGGGAATGTTTGACCATTTTTCCAGAAGCGCATATGTGAGGTCAGCTACTGATGTTGGACGAGAAGGCCTGGCTCGCAGTCTCCACTCTAATTCATCCCAAAGGTGTTCTATCGAGTTGAGGTCAGGACTCTGTGCAGGCCAGTCAAGTTCCTCCACCCCACACTGGCTCATCCATGTCCTTATGTACCTTGCTTTGTGCACTGGTGCGCAGTCATGTTGGAACAGGAAGGGGCCATCCCCAAACTGTTCCAACAAAGTTGGGAACATGAAATTGTCAAAAATGTTTTGGTATGCTGATGCCTTAACAGTTCCCTTCACTGGAACTAAGGGGCCAAGACGAACCCCTGAAAATCAACCCCACACAATAATCCTCCGTCCACCAAACTTTACACTTGGCACAATGCAGGCAGGCAAGTACCGTTCTCCTGGCAACCGCCAAACCTAGACACGTCCATCTCGACAGAGAAGCGTGATTCCTCACTCCAGAGAACACGTCTCCACTTCTCTAGAGTCCAGTGGCAGCGTGCTTTATACCACTGCATCCAACGCTTTCCACATGAAGTTTGGAGGTCTTTAGCTATTGACTCTGCAGACAGTTGGCGACTTCTGCAGACAGTTGGCGACTTCTGCGCACTGTGCACTTCAGCATGCGCTGACCCCGCTCTGTCATCTTATGTGGCCTACCACTTCGTGGCTGAGTTGCTGTTGTTCCCAGTTGCTTCCACTTTGTTATAATACCACTAACAGTTGACCGTGGAATGTTTAGTAGCAAGGAAATTTCACGGAACACCTGAATCCAATGATTTGGAGGGGCATCTCAATACGTTTGGCAATATAGATTATGTTGCATCCAAGGGCTTGTAATTTCTTTTCTCAGGTGGCGCTCTTCCAGACTTCTGCGCACTGTGCACTTCAGCATGCGCTGACCCCGCTCTGTCATCTTATGTGGCCTACCACTTCGTGGCTGAGTTGCTGTTGTTCCCAGTTGCTTCCACTTTGTTATAATACCACTAACAGTTGACCGTGGAATGTTTAGTAGCAAGGAAATTTCACGGAACACCTGAATCCAATGATTTGGAGGGGCATCTCAATACGTTTGGCAATATAGATTATGTTGCATCCAAGGGCTTGTAATTTCTTTTCTCAGGTGGCGCTCTTCCCAGGCATGTAATGTAACCAGAGGACACAATAGGAGTTCCCTTTATGGGTTGTCTTCCGGTCACTATAGCCTTAAGAGGTGCCAGTCTATTTCTATGAGAAGAAGAATCCCCTGAGCACACACTGTGCGGGCCCCTCTCCAGTGCCTGAGTTACCCTCCTCCTGTGGTGGTGGGGGAGACATGACACCTGGCTTTTGGAACCCATCCATCTAGCCGATTTTATGCCGGCCCTATCCAACCCTGCTTTGACTCTACATAAAAGCTGCTAACGTAAGCTCCCCTGACGAAGCTCTAATGTGAAACGCGCCTTGAGAAAAAGAAATGACAAGTCCTTGAATACAACATACATTAAGTAATGGTTGTACGGTGGTATAATAGATATGCTACCTGATATGATTATGTTATATGACTTTTTGAAGCACATGCAAAAACGAAATGTTGGATTTTAAATTGTGATGTGAATAAATTATCGCTTTAACAGTGACACAATGTTGTGTAAGTGCCTCATAGCAACCCCATTCATTTATATATTGGTATTATTAAATCGAAAGGGAGGAGGCAGTGACAGACCTGTACATGACTCTTGGGAAGGTTTATTCGGTGGATATGGTGTTTTCACTGTCGGTACCCTCTGTTTATGTGTTTTCTTTTTACATGCTTAGTTTGACGTGCCACTTTTTCTGATGTTATGTTTGAGACCCAATTGAACTTTCAGTTAATACATTCCAGTCACATCAAAACAAGAGGTGTGCAAAATTCAGCTTATGTTCTTTAGAGAGCAGCCACAGCCCTAGTAAAGAAACCTGTCCTCTGCCCGCATGCTGTAGAGAAGGTTCCTTGTTCTCTGTGGGGAAGCAGTGTTCTCTCTGCAGAGGTCCGACTTGTCTCCTGTATTTCTTTGACCACATTTCCTTTTGCCTTCCTAAGGTCTCCCATTGTAGTCACACATACAGAAGCACTGTGTTTAGAAACAAGTACACTGCTTTTTACACTGCTCCCTTGCAGCTCCACCCCTCCTCCCTAATGTCCCACCCACCTCTCTACTTTGCCAGCCTCTCCTATAGCCTGTAGCCCAGTTGCATGTTACATGTGGGGCAATGCATTGTCAGAGGTGACCCAGAAGCCCCAAAAACAGCAGAAACTGCTACTCCAAGTGAGCAGGGATATGCAGTATTGTTAATAGATATAAGTAACAAATCATTTTTTATTTATTTCACAATACATGTGATGCTGGTGCCTGTGGATCTCTATTAGGCTAGAACATTTGCTTGTATTGCTTGAAATATTCCAAGCTTTCTTTTAAAATAAATGAACTTTTTATGATGCCTGGTCTAGTCCAGGAAACAGCAGTCTCTTGGTTTCTAGCAAAATTCCCCTTGCTCTGGGGAAATATTAGACGGCCTTCAGTACAGTATCAACCACAGTCTATAGGAACAATGTATGTCTCCTCTTGCTGTTTACCGTTAATGTTTCCCGTCCTTGCAGACCTGTTAGACACAGTGACAACACGCAGAAGGAATTTGGACCAACAGGTTTTACAGGAGGATGCAGAGACTGAGACTGCAGTCTGTGGTGAGCACAATAAGGCATTGCCTGACTCTGAGGGTATGTTTCGATATTACTTATGTACACACACTGCCTTGTATCTGCATTTTATTCCTTTGTTTAACCCTTCGTATGCATAGACATTTAAAGTCGAACTTTGCGCAGGCAGGTAGGCTTTTTATTGCAGAAGAGACATACTATGGGCCCAGTAAACTTTTTGGCACACGTGATGCATACTCGGCATGTGACTCATCAGCAACACAGTGTGCCTATGTTAAAGACAATTTTTCGTCACCTATACCAAATCCTGGAAAGATCGGAAATTGTGATTTGTTTCAAGAATATCACAGTTTAGATGCCCTATTAACTAATATACTAATCTAAATAAGATATATTATATACATCTTATATATTATATACATTATATAATGTATGTAAGATATTAGCCGCAGAACTGCGCTTGGTCTGAGCAGGGTCAGATCTGAACAGCAGGCTGGCTGATTTCGTCTAATAATGCTTAAAGGAGAACTATGAGGTGAGAGCTTTTCACTCACCTCATAGTTCTAGCCGACCTGTGACAATGAGACTGTCACAGGTCGGCTCAGTAGATCGGGAAGTGAGCGAACATATACCGGCGTTCGCTCGCCTCTCGATCCTGTCACGGCTCTCTGCCGTGACAGGGGAGGGTCTGGATTCCCCCCTCCCCGCTCCGATCCACCAGCGCTGACTGGCGGAATGGACGGGGGAGGGGGCGAGTACAGCTGGCTCTGCCTCAAGATAGGCATAGCCAGCTGTCACACAGCTGGGCGGATCTCGACATCGATGTCGGGATCCACTCCGGCGTCTCAGTATACCGCGAGCTAATACTGAGCTTAGGGTGACGGGAGGACGCTAGTTTGTGTCCTCCCGTTACCCTAAGGAGAACCATGGGGAAAAGCCCTGACTCCATAGTTCTCCTTTAACAGAAGGAGACTGATGCTAGGAGAAGCTGCCTCCTTCCTCTACCAATTTTTAAAAGTTGCACATGCTCGATTTAGTGTATATTCTTGACACGCCTCGGTGCCGGGATGAATTAATTCCCAAGCACATGCGCAGGAGTTACGGCACCTGTAGCTGACCAATTAAGTTGGAGAAGATGCTGAACCCAGGTGAAGACCGGGCGAAATTATCATGGACTTTGCATCACTGGAGTATAGCTGGCCATACACCTTACAATTTTCTGCAGATTTTCTGTGGCCAGATGGAAAAGGTGCAACAGATTCCTCCATCTGCACTTAACTGTGGATGGAGTAATCTCCACCTGGGCCAATCTGTTGCACTTTTTCCATCTGACCACAGAAAATCTGCAGACATGGTCGCACTGTTCCTTGAGTGTGCATATCTGTCATATATAAATTTAGCGCCAGTGAATCTTTGATTGTAAAGAAGTACCGATGTGATGATGCACTGTGAACCAATATCTTTATATTGTTGGATTTGTCAAATTTCAATAAAAATATTGATACAGAAAGTCTTGGTAGCCGGTTGAAAACAAATTATAGCATTATAAGTGTATGACATAAAACACAGCCAACACGTTTTGGGGAATTGTGGCTTCAGAGCTTTGATAGTGGTAGATCTGCTGGTCATGAGCACTGTAGTCTGGGTCATTTTATGATAACAGTGTTCCTGAATGTGTGCTGTGCCTGCAATGGCAAAACCACCAGTTTTAGGAGAAGGCCTCCACCACTTTAAACTATATCCCTACATAGGAGACCTAATAACACGCCTACACAGCATGAAGATATCATCACCATGTGGTAACTGGGATATACCCATATTGAATGATCCCATGCCTACTCCCCTACTTTACTGCTACCGGTATATTCTCTATTTAATACATTGTCTGTACTCCCTTCATTTTTTTATGTTATAAATAAACATCTTGATTTTGTTTTCTGTATGCAAAAAAATCAGTAAAATCAGATTGAACCAAAAACCACCAGTTTTGCTACTGCAGGCACAGTAGACACTCTGTAAGACTTTTATCATAAGTGAACACAGAATGCAGTGCCCACGACCAACATATTTATGAAGGGGGAGCCAAAACCCCTCCAAATGCATTGGCTTTTTTTTATGTCATACACTAAAAAAAGCGATCGTTGTTCTTCAACTGGACATCTATTGTCTTCATGCATGTTGTTCAAATCCCACCAATAACCTTTCAATGAGAGGCAGGAGAAGTGAAGCAGAGTTAATGACCAAGGAAAAAGGATGCTTTCTTTTGTGATTTGTAATACACAGATGATCTACTGTAGATCTTAATAGTAAAAAAAATAATTTTCTCTCCGATCGTTAGCTATGCTAATAGCTAATGTTGTTTTAGGATGACATAACAAAGCTGTGTTGTCTATTAACTTTGTAACCTTTATTCTGTGTTAATAAGAAACAGGAATTTCAGAACTGAAAGCATCGCAAGAGACTCGGAGAAAGAACAGCCACAGGGGAAACAAAGGAAGCAGGACAAGTGAGTGATACTACTGGGGTTTTCCCATGTACAGAAGCTGGGTCACAATTTTAAGTCATTCAGTAAACTTGCAATGTTTATTCCCTGGCTGATGTTGGCAGCTATTGTGCTGAGCTTAGTAACAGTGATGCAAGGTATAAATGTATCCTCTGATGTCAGTCCACTGGTTTTACAGTTGTCTGACATATGAGGATGCAAGGCAAATGCAGATTGATGGGGGTCAACATTTTTCTGAAAATACCTAATGTGGACCATACTGGACAACCAGTTGTTTGTATCATATGTAGAATTTAAGGTAGATTTTAAAGGGATACTAAACTTAAACCTGATCCTTTCTCAAGTCATCATAGGAGAATAATGTGGGTTGACCTCCCTAATGTGGGTAGCTGCCTTACTATCATGTTTATCTAGTGTTTACTTCCGCTTTAATTGCTGAATTTTCATGCCAGGTCACTTATTCAAAAAGTATCCAATCCAGAGGGTCAGCATGACAGGCAATAGCAATAAGGAGGTCAGCTATGGAAGCTGTATTTTTCTCATGACAAGGTTGCTTTAGGGCAGGGGCGCCCACAATGTTTCGTCTGGAGATCTACTTTTCAAATGACGAGCTCAATGAGATCTACCAACGAAAAAACACCTGCATTCAGGGGCGGGAGAGGGTGTGGCGGTGCATTGAAGTCAATGGCCCCGCAGCCACACAAGCCCGGAGGCACATTAGTGCCTGCGTTCCGGTCCAGTGCGATCTGCAAAAATGCTGCCTCTGCACAGAGTGCTGCTCCCCATTGAGAAACTCATGAATGAACAGGAAGTGATGTAAAGCACTTCCTGTTCATTCATAACTGGGGCACATAGTACTATGTGTCCCCAGTTACAGTATTTACAAACACTGGAGTGATCAGCTGATTGCTCCAGTGTTTGTCCTGCACAGAGGATTGGCACATATCACTGATATGTACCGATCCTCTGCCACTCGGCAACGCACACAGGGGGCTCAGCCTGCAACTTCTCCTCTGGATCCCCGCTACTTTCCCAGGCAGAGGCAGCAGGGATCCGAGGAGAAGTGAAGGAAGCACTTAAGCCGCAAGAGGAGCGGTGGAGGGAGCCGCTGTCACAGCAGCATGGCCGAGCGGTGAGGAGAGAGAGCCGCTGGCTGTCAGATCCTGGCCGAGCAGCGCTCGCTCTCTCTCTCCTCACCGCTCGGCCATGCTGCTGCGATAGCCCTCCTCCGCTGCCGGCTGCACTGCTTCCTTCACTTCACCTCGGACCCCCGCTGCATACAGATGGGGGAGAGCAGCGGGGATCCAGAGGAGAAGCCCCACGGTGGGAGGACAGGACATAGCGATCTACCAGTGTTCGCTACGCGATCGACCTAATAGGCACCCCTGCTTTAGGGGCTGTTCACTCCAGTAGTGTGAACTACTGCATGCTACCACAGCACATTACTGCATGTCCTAGGTTTTTACAGTGGACTGATATCAGAGGATGCAAGGGAAATTTCCTTGTCTGAGTTGGGACTGTATTAAGGAAGGTAGCCCAACACATATGGTGTGAATGGGCCCCTAAGTGTATCTAGTACTTGGGGTTGTTTACTATCCCAGCACTTTATTAGGAAATGTAAGATCTATGTGTTTCATTCTGTTTTATTTTTTAATTCAGGGCTGCAAATTATTTACAGGTCCTCTTTACAGGTGTCTATAAATAGTCAGTGTTTGGGGTAGGTTGTTGGCTGGGCAGGATTGGTAATTGATATGGCTTTACTTGCTGGGTTCTGGTCATCAGCTTCAAGTGTACTAGTGTGAAGTAGGTGGTTGGTTTTTGGTCATGCTGGGCATGGAGGCTCTGGACATGGCGGAGAGACATTAGGAAGTTGGAAGAGAATAGGTGAGGTGCAGCATCTTATATCGTGAAGGTGTGCTATGTGTTGTTGGGGGGCAAGTGTGGCTAACTAGTCCCAGGAAGACTAAGCATTGCTCTTCTGGTGCGAAGAGCAATGAGAGAGTGCGGTATGGCTCTAAACACATGGACTTTGCACTTGGTTGTAAACACTAAAGGGAATCCCATTTAGCAAGCATTTACAGAGCACTTGACCTACTGAATTGGGTTATGTTGTGTTTTACGGCTAGTATGCTGCCTGGAGGCCAAATTTTCTGCTACTGGCCTTATACTTCAAGCATCTTTAATTATATACTTGCTCTAAGCTGCCTGGGCAACATTTGTAAAATGCACTTCAGATGCACGATTAAAAAAACAGTGCCAAAAGTATTGGGACACCCCTCCAAATCATTGGATTCAGGTGTTCTGTGAATTTTCCTTGCTACTAAATATTCCGCGGTCATCTGGGAACAACAGCGACTCAGCCATGAAGTGGTAGGCCATGTAAAATGACAGAGCGGGGTCAGTGCATGCTGAAGTGCACAGTGTGCAGAAGTCACCAACTGTCTGCAGAGTCAATAGCTACAGACTTCCAAACTTTGTGTGGCCTTCAGATTAGCACAACAACAGTGCGTAGAGAGCTTCATGGAATGGGTATCCATGGCAGAGCAGCTGCATCTAAACCAAGTGCAATGCAAAGCGTTGGATGCAGTGGTGTAAAGCACGCCGCCACTGGACTCTAGAGAAGTGAAAAATCACGCTTCTCTGTCTGGCAATCCGATGGACGTGTCTGGGTTTGGCGATTGCCAGAAGAACGGTACTTGCCTGACTGCATTGTGCCAAGTGTAAAGTTTGGTGGAGGAGGGATTATGGTGTGGGGTTGTTTTTCAGGGGTTAGGCTTGGCCCCTTAGTTCCAGTGAAGGGAACTCTGAAGGCATCAGCATACCAAGACATTTTGGACAATTTAATGCTCCCAACTTTCTTGGAACCGTTTGGGGATGGCCCCTTCCTGTTCCAACATGACTGCGTACCAGTGCACAAAGCAAGGTCCATAAAGACATGGATTAGCGACTTTGCGGGTTCAGGAACTTGACTGGCCTGCACAGAGTTCTGACCTAAACCCGATAGACCACCTTTGGGATGAATTAGAGTGGAGACTGCGAGCCAGGCCTTCTCCTCCAACATCAGTACCTGACCTCACAAATGCGCTTCTGGAAGAATGGTCAAACATTCCTATAGACACACTCCTAAACCTTGTGGACGCCTTCCCAGAAGACTTGAAGCTGTTATAGCGGCAAAGGGTGGGCCAACTCAATATTGAACCCTACGGACTACGACTGGGGTGCCATTAAAGTTCATGTGCGTGTAAAGGCCGGCGTCCCAATACTTTTGGCAATATAGTGTAGCTTGAGTTAACTGGTGTCTATTATGCTGAATCAAGTACCATTTCCTGAAAGTGGTAATCAAGCCTGACAGCTAAATGCATAGTTACATTACAAACATCTGAACAATATCATCTGTGACTCCGTTCAGCCTGTCTTGTGAATCACACAAGAATCTTAAGGACAAAAATAAAACTGTAAATGCAGATGCACGTATAATTAACTATTATTTTTTGAATGGTAGGCCAAAATTCTGCTTTAAGTGGAGGCAATACTAGAATTCTAACTAGCAAAGGATAAACTTTGATTGGACTACTGTGGCTTGAATTGCCTTACTAAACAATACTGCAATAATAACACACAGTAATTGGCTCATATTTATGCCGGGAAAACATGAAGAACATAAAATAGTATTATAATATAGAGCAGTTTCTAGCTTAGGTGCCCCTTGAGTCTAAAAAATTTTCGGAAAGTTGCTCTTCCGTATTGGTCATTGTGTGTCAAGTGAGCAGTAGGCTATTTGTGCTAATTTCAGAACGAGCACGTCTAAAGATTTTTCTCTTTTCTATTTCAGACCAAAGCGTGCACCTCTGGGAGTTTGTACGTGACCTTTTGCTGAGTCCACAGAAGAACCAAGAGGCAGTGCGATGGGAGAACCGTAAGGAAGGAACGTTCCGTGTCGTTAAGTCTGACATGTTCGCCCAGTTATGGGGAGAGCAGAAGAAGAACAAATGTATGAATTATGAGAAGCTAAGCCGGGCCCTAAGGTAAAAAAATATAAGGATTAAACGAGCTGTATAAGAACATCACTGGAAACGGCAAAGTACCGTATTTTTCGCTCCATAAGACGCACTTTTCTCCCCCCAAAAGGAGGGGGAAAATGTGCCTGCGTCTTATGGAGCGAATCCAGATGCCCGAGACATGCAGTTTTGGGTGCCGGGCGAGTAGTAGGAGCCACTGCTCGTTAAATACGAGTGATCCAATGAGATCACTCGTATTAAAGCCGAGCAGCGGCAGCGGCGATCGTATTCAGCAGTAGGAGCCACTGCTCGTTTAATACGAGTGATCTAATGAGATCACTCGTATTAAAGCCGAGCAGCGGCGATCGTATTCAGCAGTAGGAGCCACTGCTCGTTTAATACGAGTGATCTAATGAGATCACTCGTATTAAAACCGAGCAGCGGCGACGATGGAGATCACCATAGAGCAGACGAAGAACGGACTTTCTTCGTCTGCTCTGTGTGATCACTGAGACCGTGGTGCTGTAATTACAGCGCCACCTGTCTCAGCGGTCACTAACTGCAGCTTCTGTCACAGCTTCTGTCATAGAAGCTGTGTCAGGAGCTACAGTCTGTCGAGTGCTCCATAAGGCGCGCCGGACCTCCTTGCATCCTATGGTCCGGTGCGTCTTATGGACCGCAAAATACGGTACTTCTTTCCCAAGCAGAAAGAAGACTGAGCCTTGTTCTCATGCTGGCATTGCTCGAGTACATAACACCACCTTAAAATACATTTTCCAAATAAAGTATAAACAACAAAAAAAAACTCACAGGCTCAGCAGCATGCCATGGCAAAATAAGTTAACTCCCATGTGCATGAACGGCTCATCCAGAGGTAACCAATCAAGCAGTCGAAGACTATGGACCCGGAAGGTTGGAACGAAGATGGAAGTGCTGGCAATGGAGGAGAGCACTGACATTGCAGCGCAGGAGGGGATCTCATTGACAGGTAAGTCTGCCATACTGTGCTAATATGCTATGCATATTAGCTGAAAGCTCATGGGGGTCATTTTTTGTACTTTACTTTAAAGGTAATATAGTGGTTTTGTAGGGGAGAGAGAGAGTAATATAGAGGCAGCATTTGTCAGTGAAATAGTGCACGCATGGCTATCTTACATAGCTAGTCAGGTTGAAAAAAGACACATGTCCATCGAGTTCAACCTATAGCGATATGAAAAAAAAAAAAGCCTAAACAGAACGCTATGTCCACAATTACCTGCTGTTGATCCAGAGGAAGGCAAAAAAAACCCAACCCCTATGGAGCATGGTTCAATGTGCTCCAACAGGGGAAATAAATTCCTTTCTGATCCCATAAGGCAATCGGATATTCCCTGGATCAACAATCCATGATGCTTAATATACCTATAAGAACTCAATATCCAGTAATATTCGGTGCATTTAGGAATACATCCAGATTTTTTTTTTAAACAAATAACTGAGCTCGCTAGAACTAGCTCCTGGGGGAGTCTGTTCCACATTTTCACAGCTCTAACTGTGAAGAATCCTTTCCGTATGCAAAGGTTAAACCTCTTCTCCTCCAGGCGCAGAGTGCCCCCCTGTCCTTTGCAGTGACCTTAACGTGAATAATTTGGCACCAAGCTCACTATATTGACCATTTATATATTTATACATGGTGATCATGTCCCCCCTTAATCACCTCTTCACCAGAGAGAACAAATTCAGGTCAGTTCATCTTTCCTCATAGCTGAGCTCCTCCATGCCTCTTATAAGTTTAGTCGCCCTTCGCTGCACTTTCTCCAGTTCCACAACATCTAGTGTCTATAGCAGTGGTTGTCAACTTACAAGTTTACAGACCTCAATAGTTAAAGCTGAAATTTACACACAAGTGAATGACTCATCCTTTATTGGATTAAGTCTACCAAAAGGTGTATAAATAGCTCCCTTTTTGCCTTGTAAATGTTATTCTGTAAGGTTATTGCAAAAAAAGGTGAATGTTTCATAAAAATATGTTGATCCTGCCAGCTTTTGCTTTCCCTGAGGCCTTTTTAATAGGGTGGCCTCCAGCTCCTGATGCTACAAGAGCTTTGTCATAATCCTGTGTGAACAACAGGCAGTTGTACTTTCAGCCAATCCGCCGCAGTCAATATTTTTCATATATGTTTATTTGTAAAAAAAACCAAATTGTATACCCATTGTATTTACATGTATTTATGTTTTCACTTCACTTCCAGGCATTACTATAAGTCCGGTATTCTGGAACGAGTAGACGGGAGACTAACTTACAAATTTGGGAAGAAAGCTCATGGGTGGAAAGAAGACTCTACTACATAATGATCTATAAAGACAAGCAGTGGCGGTATCAAAAAGAATTATGGACAGGGAAGTGGACTGGAGCTTGAGACTAACCATACAGAGATTTTTATACAATTTTTTTTAATCATTTTTATATTAAAAGTTTATGTGAATAGTCCATAGAATTTTCAGACATCTGTACCATACCTTAAACTTAACATAGCTGCCGCTCATACCTGTACCCACGTCCGCGATGCAAATCTAATTTTAAACAGCATGACACGTTTGGCAGGAGGTGCTGCTAGCCGGAGGTGGCAATTGCAATCAACCAGATGGTTGTGGCGTGGTATTGCAACAGTATCCCCATTTGAATTACGGTAAAAGAAAAAAAGAAAACCGGCAGCAATATTACCTCCTGAACTCCTGGGCCTGAACGCTCTACCCACCCTCTGAAAAGTCATCCACTAGGGGCAAATATGCATATTTGGAGTTCTGACTGGCTAATCTGCATGTGTGTTCTAGATCAGTCTCTCAAAGGACTAAAGCTGGAAACAGCCAGGTAACAAGCATCTTCAGGAGGAGGTCAGCAGTGGCAGCCTTCAGCAGCTGAGAGGGGGTGCAGCCAGGCCGGCCTGGCTGCGCCCCCTTGCCCCTGTTGCCGTGGCAAGCACAGGGCGCCATTGGCAACGGTCAGCCAACACAGCCGCAGGATGGCAGGGAGAAGAGGAGCGGCACAGGCTCCAGCTTCTCCTCCGATCCCTGCTGCTCTCCCCCGCCTGTATGGGCAGAGGACTCTGTGTCCTCAATCTCTTCTTCTATTTGAAAACAGAAATGTCAGGGGTCCGTTTAGACCCCCCAATATTTCCCCGAAAACTAAAAATGTTTTCATTAGTTTCGTCAAACGAAACATACTTGTATGCTATTTTCGATTTGGCCACCAGCGCATTCCGCAAATGCGCGCTACCATCCTGGAGGCGGGGAGCATGACGTCACATACCGCACACGTCTGTTCGGGGGGCACAGTTTTCTGTTCTTGCCTCGGACGCAAAAGGAGCTAGCTACGGCTCTGATGAAATCGATTGGATAACTAGTTGTTATAAACTAGAACTGCTCTTCCTTCTAAAACTTTGCAATATAAGGCAGTTTGTACAGCATACCAAACAGTGAACATGATCGTTTTGGAATGTTTAGTTGTAAAAATAAAAACTTTTGTAAGAAAAAAAGTGAACTGTCATGTCACTCCTGTTTTATCTAGAGAGGTTGCAGTCCCACCGTCATTACTAAAATCCAAAGATTCCTTCAAGTAAAACTGAAGCCAAAACTTTTCTTTTAGTTTTTTGGTAAGAGGATTATAACCTATTGGGAGGGGGGGGGGGGTTTCCTTCACTTCCTGTCTGACAGTCACAACAAGATTAGAGAGGAAGTACCTCCAAAGAGAGGGAATCCCAGGTGGTCAGCAGAACAAATGTCCACATTGGAAGATTTCCCATCTATTCCTGTTCTGATGACAACCCAAAATGTGGAATTTGCTTTCATTTAGAGACAACAGTCACCAGGACAATTTCGAAGGGTGAATCTCTCTAACAGGGGGCACAGACAGCAATAAAATCCTGAATCTTTATTCTATCCAAAACTAAAAAATAATGGTTTGCTTTCAGTACTTTTCAGCACTTTAAGAACTAATTGCAGCCACACAGTTAAGCCTACGGAAATGATCGGTGGAAGGGCAGGAGAAGCCCGCTATATTTCATTGTTGTATGAAGGGATGCCTGGAATTCTAATGGAAGTGACTGGTCTTTGCATTTGATTTTTGGGGGCATGTACAGCAAAAGAGATGCCTGGGATGATTTTATTACATGCGACTACTCGTGGGGCTGAAGAAGGCTTAATGCTAATCCATTACAAAAACTTGTAATAAGAGAAATAGCTGTGTACGAGGTAAATGCTTCTCGTGCCAACCCCCAAGTCATTAGAGTCCTGTAGTAATGTAGGGGTCAGTAAGAAGGCCCATCAAGCACAGTGGGGGACAGAAGGTTCTGCACAGACTTTAGGGGGACAATTTCTTTTAAAGAAATCAGTGTTCTTATAGTTTTTTTGATGGTTAGGTTTTGTTGTACTCTACCTGACCAACACTTCTGCCGCTTTGATTGGCACTAGCTTTGGGGTCCTGTCTCCGACCTTGTGTATTCTTTCCCATTCACAAAACACAGCCGGTGATGATGCTGCGGCCGTGGGTACTTAAATATTCAAATGCCCCCTTTTGCTCACCTAAATCAACGATCAGATGACGTTCAAGTCCACAGTTTCCTCTACCATGCACAGGATGGTTGGGTCCTTCTTTTGGTGCTCATGCAACCATATGCCTAATGTAGACACTTCCAGGATCCAGAAAAAAAAAAAGTGATGTCAGCACAAGGAGACAGAAAGGGGGCCAGCTGGCACGGGCACAGCTGCAGAGATGGATTACCAGTGCACTGCACCTGGAAATGATGCCAGCGAGGGGCTTAGGCAAGTGTGCGTGTATATATCCATTTTATTTTATTCTCATTCATATGGTATTTAAAGAAAAACAAAAGGGCTTTAAGATATGCAGTTATATAGATGTTAGTGGTTTAGATGCAGGAAACTATTTCTCACTTCCTGTACCAGTGACAATGTTTTTATAGGGACAGTGAGTGAGAAGAACCTCTCTAAAAGGGACACCACAAGGGCCAATCACCTTGATTTCCAGACTTAACTATAATCTCACGGTTGTTTTAAAGACATCCTGCCAAGTAAATCTGGCCATACACCTATAGATTATCTGCAGAGTTTCTATGGTCAGATGGAAAAAGTGCAACAGATTCCTCCATCTATGCTAAACTGTGTGGTTGGAGGAATCTCCCGCCGGGCCAAGTTTCAGTATCTTGCTAGTCGGCCACTCTGGCTCAATCTGATTGGATGCAGGCATTGGTCAGGTATTTTGACAGCCAGCGGGACCAACTAGCAAGATACTTAAACTTGGCCCAGTGGGAGATTTCTCCATGCACACAGTTTAGCGTAGATGGAGGAATGTGTGGCACTTTTTCCATCTGACCATAAAAAATCAGCAAGGTGCCCCATGTGTCCCATACATAGGTTATGGGGCACCTCGTTGACCACCTATTACATAGGTGGTTGTATGCAGGCATTGTACATATATAATCTATAGTAGGGCTGCAACAACTAATCGACATAATCGATTATAAATCGATTATTGAAAAAGTTGTCAACTTTTTCAATAATCGATTAATAGGCTTCCGATCATTTGGCCCTGTTCACGGGTCCACAAACGCGCGCCGCACCTCCTCCCCAACTCACGTTCACCGCTGCCAGACCCGCCCGCATCCACGCTCTACACGCCGCACCTCCTTCCCGCCTCACACTATCCGCCCACATCCACGATTGGCACAGGGACGCGGGGAGATGTAGTAAGGAGGAGCAGGTGTGGGGGGATAACAGCTGCCGATAGACAGGTCCGATCTCAGAAGCAAGTTGCTGGAAGACTGCTCAGGTAAGCCTGAGGTGTACGGCCAGCTTTAGTGGGATTGCAGTGTCTGGTTTTATGCCTTTACTGGATCCATAAACACGTGCAAACACTTCTTTCTACCATCTTGCTATTAAAAAAACAAAAAACACAGGAAAAATAGGATTTTGGTACTCACCGTAAAATCCTTTTCTCTCCGTTCATTGAAGGACACAGGGAACAGATCGGAGATCATGTACTGTAGGGTAATATCGCCACCTGCAGGAGAAGGACGCTAGGCACAAAACAACTAAAGACCAATTACAGCCTAGGGGCGGCCCCTGCCGGTGGCCAAACCCCCCACCTACTGAGAAGTCTCCAGTTT